AAACAGCATGCAGTGGGCACAAAAGATCAATGAAGGAAACAGCATGCAGTGGGCACAAAAGATCAATGAAGGAAACAGCATGCAGTGGGCACAAAAGATCAATGAAGGAAACAGCATGTAGTGGGCACAAAAGATCAATGAAGGAAACAGCATGTAGTGGGCACAAAAGATCAATGAAGGAAACAGCATGCAGTGGGCACAAAAGATTGATGCAATCAACAGCATGTAGCAAGATAAAAAAAAACAACAACCAACATTGTATTAATTTTATGCTTATTTAATGAATCAGGCACTAAATGCAGATAATGTGCTGCACTGTGGAAAACACAAGTATAAAAAATCTCACTTAGGCCTGCCACCAAGAGTACACTTACCTAAGCTGTTCTTGTCTACTCTGAACTTCTTCTGAATAAGGACTCTCCACAGCAATTAGTTTCTTAGCCAGTACTTCACACTGATTGAATCTCTCTGAGCCAGCTTCCACTCTGTGCTTGTAATCATTGAACTTGCTAAGCAGAACCTAGAGCCGATTTTATACATTTTAATACTTTTCACTGTTGCTGTTTTTTTAGTATGAACTGTTACTAGTGATGTATTTGCAGTAGACAAAAATAGTACCATCAAAATGATGAGTGTAAATCATAGCAAGTAAAAAATCAACTTAAAAACACTGAACAATCTCAAAGTTTTATTCCAAGAAGTACTTAGATGTATGATGATTTATACTCTCACAATAACACAAGATCTATCAAGGAAAGGACATGCCTGATGCAATATACAGATAACATTCTAACCTAGCTCATTTAAAGTACCTGCGGAATGGAATATATATAATATTTATCTCCATACTTAACTACAATACAACACTAATGTATGACCTACAGATGATTTCTTGATTGACAAACTATAATGAAAGTATATTACTATGCATAGAAGAATAAGAATATATATATATGTAAGAAATGCTGTTTTGAATTAAATTTCTAGAGTTTATTGTTTTTACATAAATAATTTAAATATGACATGAAGGCTAATATAAGTGACTGGGAAGTAACATCATCACCAATACAGAACTCACAAGCACTGGCTTTTAATTATGCTGGGTCTCAGAGTAAAAGATAACTGCTATCTATAGCACGTTTTCATGTGCCAAATTTTAACAATTCTCTTTAATAATCCTCTATAAAAAGTGGTTACTATTTTGAAACTTAAATATGTCAGAAGACAGGAAAACATTCATACAAATTTTGAAACATTCTGATAACACAGGCCTGTGAATTTAAACTTCATAAAAGTAGCTTTGGTTTTGGTAACGAATTTTTCCATAATTCAGCTATGCAGATTTCGAAAATGATATTAATTTTATTTCTATCACATAACGATTTTTTACAAATCAGGAAGAATAAAAACTCTTACTTAGATCAAATTATTATTTCGTTTACCACAATGAACATTTTTTATTATTATGTTTGTTAACAAAAATACAAACAAAATGAAGAAAAGGGAAGAACATTGATGTGAAACAAATATACACCCTCATTCATCCTGATTTGTTTTCTGAAGTCTACATCTTTTAATCACAAAACTACGTGTTGTGGTCTTTCCTTTACGTATTGCATTATGAAGTTTTGTGAAAAATCTGTACATGATGGAGAAAAATGGATAGCATTTTTGGATTCAACGTACAGAAATTACTGTAGAACATGTAAAAATTTCAAGACAATAAAACCATCACAGGCCTGTCTTATTCACCATACTTTTAAAGCTAATCTAAATATAAGTAAATGTTGGCAGCAAATGTAAATAAATTCTTGATGATGGTTATCTATTCTACTAAATCTTTCCTACTAATTTAGAAATAGCTTTCAGCCAGAAAAACAATAAGAACGTTATCCTTCAAGTCATGTACTATGTACAAGTTTTGTTTTATTAATGAAACATGTATTACTTGTAGCAATGTTTGTTAACTTTTACAATGGTATCACAGTTCAATGATAAAACTTCTAATGTTTCCACATTCAGTTATTAGTTTGTTTGAATCCAAATTAGAAATGTTAACCACCCTATGCATAATTCCTGAGAATGCAAAGAAAAATAATAAAAAAAATATATGATCTCTCTCACAGCAACCTTCGAAGGTTTGAAATTGGTTTTGGTTTCATTAAATAGCAATCTGAAAAGGAGAGAAAGCAATATATTTAGTTTTTTATTCTTTAACCTTACCAAAATGTGCTCATAGTCCTGCCCATATTCTTCAGACAATGCTGATTGCATTTGCTTGTCAATCCACTTTTCTAAGTCCTCGCTCTCCCTGAAATACTCGTGGCGGTTCTTTGACTCAATTAACTTTTGTCTCCTAACATTTCCACTCTTCTGCAAGTCCTTCATTTGTTGTGTGATCAGTTGCTAGAATATTGTACACACACTTCAGTTTGAACACGTGATTCTAATAATACAGATTTAGTGTCTATGTACATGACTAAAAACTATAATTTTAATGTTAATGTAAATTAAGTATAACTTGAAATCAAATAAACAAATGTTACAATCAGCAAACACTTGAGTAAAATCTCAGCTGGATCACAACAGCAATAAATGTATTAAATTAATCAATTCTTTAAATTTTAGATTAATCTAGATGTCACAAGATTCAGCAAACAAGACAAACAAAGTTAAAGTTCCTTGCATAACCCAAAATTAATTTTGGAAAGCAGTGTTTCTCAAATAAGTTTCTTTCAAAAAGAAATCATAATTTCTCTTACATAGAAGATTGATAAAATATGTTTAAACAAAACTGAAAGCACTTTCAGCTTTTAGAGTATCAAGTTCTTTCTTCATTTGATTTCAGGTTGTAGTAGTAGTGTCTGATTCACATGAAAAAAATGCACCTTCTCCAGATTCTACGAATAGTAGGAGTCTGATTTAACAATGGAAGATTCCATCTCCCATAAATTCTGGGATTAGTAGGATCCTGATTTAACACTGGAAGAATGCACCTCCTATAGACTCTAGCGTATCAAAACTGCATTTTGGTTGTATTAATAGTTACTGATGTTAGGACTGGTTTTTAACTTACTATTCTTTTGCTGATAATCTTGTGATCTGGATGTTCATCATCAATCATCCTCTGGGCTTGGCAGACCATCTCTTTCAATAATCCACTGTATGTGTCTAGTTCAAGTTCCAAGGCCTAGAATATCAAATCCATTTTAAAAACAAAACAAACATATAATACAAATACGTAGTCCATATTATAAACATCTTTATCATAGGTCAAAATACACGATACATAGTTAAATTTACAACTTGGACAAGATTATCTACTACAGAATTTATACGGGTGTACAAAAATTGGTAAAAAATCTCTAACCTTAGTAAACAGTTTTATTATAATTTTCAAACACCCCATATGATAAACACATCAAAATCCAAATTATTACTTCACCATAAATATATATATATATATATATATGTGTGTATATATATGTATATATATAT